AAAGCTTCAGTATAACCTAGAGGAACGTAAACAGTTGCAAGAATTTGCAGGTATGAATTTAGGGCAATCATAGGGACCAGGAGTTAAGCACATTGGAATAACACATATAACTGGGGATAAGGAAGAGAGTGTCCACTATTTTGGTATCTCAGCCTCTGAATTTCCACTTCACACCTAAAAAAGGCAAATCCTTGGTTTGGCATGTTACATTCTGGGCATATGTCTGGGCATATGTCCTGATTTCTTCTAACCTAGAGAGAACCTGATAATTTCGCTTCTCCAGTAGGGGACACCTAAATCCTTTGAGATCTGAGAGCTTGTTTCCCAAGAGGAGAGTGTTCCATTTGTTGGCAGTTAAGACAAGATGGGCTCTTGCTCAATTTGGACGGCCTGCCCTCTTTTGTACATGTTTCTTCTCAGACCTGAATAGTAGGGCCTCAGGCTCAAGATTTGGGGCTTATATATACATAATAACTGATAGCTATGGGGATTAGATAGTGAGCAGAAAGCCCACAAGTGCCCATTGCCCCCAATCCCCAAAAGAGGTTTATGAATTATAGACTTCTACTCCTTTGAGCACCTTCTAGTGTCAGCCGAGGCAAAGAAGTTTGTGTTTAAACAGCAGAGTCAGAGTTCAGTGGAGAACTACCTGCTCAAAATTATTTTCCCTAAGTTTCTCACTTGAAATTTCATCACTTGGAGATTAATTTGGATTAATAAATTTTACCTCTAAAAATAAAATCTGCAAGAGTTAGGGGCCCTTTTTTACAAATTAATATGGATTAGTTTTATCTTCCTCATACCTAGCTAAAATCCATTCAGTGTGAAATAATTTAGAGAAGAAAAATATGTGTGTGTGGTGGGCACAGGAGGGCAACGAGAGGCATTTATAACATTGTAACATGGAATTTAGAGCAGAATGTCAAAGATATTTGTCAAAGTACACATTCACCTACTTCAAAATGTTGCCTAAAGTTAATCCTGCTCTTTCCAGTTGTCCTCAGCCCTGTCTTCCCACTCATTCTCTTGGGAGAAAACTGAAAGAGAGAAGGGAGTAAGGCAGCATATTTAATTCTGATTAATTCATCTATGGCAAAGAGTATAGACACATATGGCTTAATATTTAAAAATTCATTTTTCAATTATAGTTGACATAATACATATGGCTTAAAGTAAAGATTAGTAAAAATTTGTGTGGGAACCCAGAAAAGCAGGGTCTTCACCAAACTTTTTTTTTTTTTAACGCCTATGGCACCTGGTATTCCTAGGTGGTCTCTCATCCAAGTACTAACCAGGCCCGACCCTGCTTAGCTTCCGAGATCAGACAAGATCAGGCATGTTCAGGGTGGCATGGTTGTGGACTTTACCAAACAATTGTGTGTTCTGGATAGTCTTAGCTCTCCAGCCTCATAATCTGTTTTTTCACAGTGCAAGCACTAATGAACTTTGAAGACAAGTAAAGCTGACAATGGATGGCTTCAATATCTTTGGCAAAGGATCACAAAGAGAATAGTTGGAAATGGAGAATTCAAAGTATAAATGTCTAATAAATACTACTGATAATTGCTCAGTGTCCTGTTTCTGAGACATAGGGGATACTGAAAGATATAAGGTCAGATGAAATAGTTTAGATGCCAGTGGGGCCTGTGGTCCTTGGCTTTCTACCCTTTCCACAGCTGCTCAGGTTGACTCTTTTCTTGACTTTGTAACTATAGTTCCCACCCTGCCTATAACCTCTGCTTCCTGATAGAGTCCTAATTTCACCCTCTCCTTCCCCAGCGCATAGAGGACTCTCTGATTGGGGGGTTGGGGTAAGAAGATCCTAGGAGCTTTTAGTGTAACTGAGAACTATTGTTTCCATTGCCTATTCTTATGAATATTCTGCTATGCATCATTAACTTTAATCAAACATGATTTTCACCTGTTTGTGAAACAGTCCCTTCATTTCATTTCCTTGCCATCGCTCAGGGCAGTGATTCCACTCTGTGAGAGTGTTTAAATCAGTAAGTGTCTCATAGATTTGACCTCAGAATTTATCTGTCATCAAAACAGGAACACCTTTTAGAACATCACTGAAAGGAGGATTATCCAGCTGACGCTTAATGTTTTTCTAGTTACTGGGGATTTATTATCTAGAAGGGATCTCATTTCATTGTTGGATGACTTGAGTCTTTAGAAAAGTTTATTATTAAATATTCCATCATTTTTTGAGTGCTTCATTCATACATATCCTCACACATAAAAAAACACTGAATTGTACACTTTAAAATGGTGAATTTTATGTTATGTGAATTATATCTCCATTTTTTAAATTAAGTAAAGATTATCTAAAACCAAAAATCAACATTATGTTTCAATGAAAAGCATTGTAGTTATTCACCATAAAATTAGCAACAAAAGAAAAATGTCTTAAAAATAATTGTCAATATATAGTATGGTATTATTAAATATTCTATCATACATATAACATAAATATTTGAAAAGAAGAATTAAAACTACTGGTTTTAGACACAATTGTATACCTAGAACCCCTAAAGGAACCAAGTAGAATTAGATATAAAGGATTTCCATTAAGTACAAATAGAAGAAAGAGGGCTGGAGATGGACGCCTGAGAAAAAGGAACAGTTAAGGGATAGGAGGAGGAAAAGGAGCCAGCAAAGAAGCCTGAGAGGAAAGAGCTGAAGAAACAGGAGGATAATCATTCTAGAGAAATGTCGCTAGAGCCAAGATAGAATTTCAAGAAAGTAATGGTCCAGTAAGATCTGGATTGGAGCATCCATTGAACCTGGCATTCAGAATATAATAAACAAAAGAGTAAGGAAGCATTATTTCATAAATCTCACATATGCTATTTACAAAGTAGATGCTTTTTGAGTAGCATCTTTAAGTAGCTTTGCTCAAAGTGTGGGCTGAGGACCAGACTTGGTTACTTGTTACAAGTGCATAATCTCAGGTCCCATCCTCAAGGCCTATTGAATCAGATGTTACATACATACATGCAAGTTTCATACTACTTTATAGGTATTTGAAGATTGATTCCTTCCTACCTTTCTATAGCTGAACTTCTCAAATGAATAGTCTATGTCTGCTACCTCATTCTTTAACTCCTTCCTTAATGAAAACTATCTGGTTTCAGTGCTACTGGAATGGAAGTTTAGTCAACAAATATTTGTTGAGTTCCTATGTTCCAGACACTGTTCTAGGCGTTGGGCTACATCAATGAATGAACAAGACAAAAATCCCTGCTATCCTAACTAGTTCCTCATAAGATCACCAAATAATAAAGAACTTCCATGAAGATAGTGATTTTTTTTTACCTCCTGTTTCTCCTCCAAATTATCCTTCTAGCAGCCCTAGTGAAATAGCTGCTCAAAACAAAAACAAATTTTTTTCTGACTAAACAAATATTCTAAGGTCTAAAGATCAAGCTCCACTGGCAATCTATTACGCACTCCTCTAGCTTCCGTTTCATCCTTGCCCTGACTGGGTATCCCTGCTATAGTTCTCAACACTATTTTTAAGTCAATGAACAAATTTAAGGTTTACACCAGGTAACTCAGCTACCGTTGAATCTTGTTATTCTCAGCATTATGTTCTATAAAGTTGCTGCAAACACTGAGTTAGCGAATACTGAACCATTGCTCCTAGGGGAAATGCAGGGTTAGGTTTCTGTGAGCCTCTTGTCATAGCTGTTTCATCAACTGATGGGCACATAACCTTGTTTTATGTATTGTGTTTTATGTAAAGTGTTTCTGTTTAAAGATACCTTATTTAATATATGTTGTTAATTCCTTAGCATTGACCTCTTTGTCAATAGCAACATAACTCATGCCAGAATGAAGCTTATCTAACACATGTATTTTCTCCCTGAGGCATATCACAGCCTTCCTGTGCTTATTAACACTATACAGCACTTTAGCACTCAGTGTGAGGGCCGTTTTAATTTAACAGTTTGATTTTATTTTCCTCTTCTATATATTGTTAAAATTTATATTTTTTTATGGTGACATGGTTAACGAAATCTGGTAAATTTCAGGTGTACATTTTAACAGTAAGACATATATATATTTACATTGTATGTTTACCTCCCATAGTTAGATTTCTTTCTGTCACCACATATTTGACCTCTTTTACCCCAACTACCTCCCCCCATCCCCATGAGGGCCATTTTAAGAGTGAAATCACCAAAAAATAGTGCAAAAATTGTGAAACTAACTAGACCATGAAAAGGACACTTATTTACAGTATGAGAAGAAGAGGGAGTATCACCTTATTTGACCTCAACATGGGCAACTAAAATTTTTTGCCACTCTGTGCATATCTATGAATAATTGTGAAAATAACACAAACACTGATTTTCAGGTCACAAATTTTGGTAGGTGAATTCACAAATACAGAACTCACAAATAATGAGACTCAACTAAATGCTGTGTGATATTTTGCATCTTCAACCTACTTGGCCGTGTGACACTGTATCTCAACATGCAGTTTCTAGGTTCCTTCAACAAGGATGAGATGGCTGAAGGGTCATTTGCTAGCTCTTAAATTCTTTGGTCATTCACTATCTATTGGCAGGAACTAATCACTTGACTCCACCTAACTGTAAGAGATCTGGGAAATATGGGGAATACTCGGTTATCTAATGAGCACTATATATTTCAATTACAAAAGGCAAACCGGGAAAAATAATTGTATTTTACAAAGGGAGGCGTCTGTTCTTGTCAGACAGAGAGTACCCTGTGGGAAGTTTGGAGGAGTGGGGATGTTTCAGATTTCTTACCTCCTTTGGCTCCACCCAAATATCTTTATTAAAATTGCCAGACCACAGAACATTCCAGTCATCCCATCAACATTATCTGCTCACTTCAGCAAGACATGTGATTAATGTGATTAATTTCTTGTTCTAGGCCCCTGTAATTTCAGTTTGTTGTTTCAGTTTTTCTCTCTCTTCATTTGATCATCCTAGATTGGAACTTATCTCACTCATATTAGACCTTATCAAGCTATAAGCTTGGTATATTCGCTATAAACCCAGAGCACTTCACCCTCACTTGGTACAGAGTCTGAATCCTTGGCAACAACAGGATTGCTTAACCAACCGCTTGCTACACCATTATGTAGACCGCCGAGAATTTCCCAGCCTACGTTGAGGGAATCCTCACTGTTCCTCTCTCTGCTTGACTCAGGTAGTTCCAATATTGTTCTAAAGGTCTATCTCTCAAGACACTACTTGTTGGTAATAATTTCTTTATTAATTAGGACTCTTAAGTTTCAAATAAAAGAATTCATATTGAGCTAGTCTAATAATAATAGCAGCAGTAAAATTTAGTGCATGTTTATTCTGGATCACATGGTAGGTGCTTACTCTTTGTTGAATGAATGCCAGACACTATGTGAAGCACTTTGAATGCATTATCTAATTTATTCCTCACAGCAACTCTATACTAGATTTCTCCTTTTGACAGAAAAGAACACTGTGACACAGAGAGGGTTAGAAACTACCCAGGACACACACAGCTAATAAATATTGGAGCCAGGATTTGAATTCAGACCATCTCATTTTTTTGCTACGGTATTAGGGGGAAAAAAAGGAAAATTTATTATAAGGTCTTTATAGAATCAAGGGCAGAAATTCAGGTGGATTACAGGATGGGCTGGAACTAGGAGCTAGAAAGCTGTTGGGACCCCAGGTCATGTTCTTCCTCTGATTTTTCTCTCTGCTTTTCAGACTAGATGTAATACGTTTCATGGGCAAAGGGAAAATATTGGTAAAGTCATGCAATTGGTCTCAAGTTTTGACTCACCTTGGAAAACCCCAGCACTGCCCACAACTCCTTTTGTGGACTGGGTCAACCATTCTGTTTCTTTGGAAGTTAATTTCCTTATTTATAAAACGAGAAGTTTTTACTGGAGGATTCCTCAGATTCCTTCTAGCTCTAAAATTCTATGCTCCTAAGTGAACCTTCTAGGGCAGAAACACATTAATAATGGATTTGAAGTTGTGGGTTTGGGGAATAGAATAGAGGAAGGTTCTAAGGAAAGAGGGACTGAATAATGGTTTGAGTGGGGCCTCAGGATTGAATTACTGTTGAGAGCTGGTATCAGGTAAAGACTTTTGGGGATATACAAATGGGGGAACAGAAAAGACTTCTCATCCTGACTAGACCAGATTATTTAGAATGAGCTCTCTCTCATCTATAAGCAGATATTGCACGCTCTCTCTCTGTCTCTGTCTGTCTGTCTGTCTGTCTCTCTGTTTGTGTGTGTTGTGGGGAAAAGATAGCCCCTTTGCATAGTGGTTTAATCTGGTTTATCTCTTTTCTCAGCCCCCAAATTTTTATAGGGCTTTCACTTAGGTCACAGTAAGAGAGCCAGCGGGCAAACCCAAATATTTGAGTAGCCTAATGAGCAAGTCACACCTGAATGGGTCTGTTTCTTATCCATAACATGACCTGTTTGATCTATGTGATCTCTGAAGTCCCGCCCAGCTCTTAACATTTTCTGGTTCTGGATACTAAATCAAAAGCAGCTCTCCTCTTCCTGAATGCTCTATCCTTTGACCAG